CTAACGGATACACACCCTGCCAGATGAGTGGGAAAGGGATTTTGGAGCGGAAAGGCGCTGAGCATCTCCTACTTTCTGCCCAGCAAGCCCTCTGGCTCTGCAGCCACCCTCAGAGGCTGCAGGAAGAGTCAGGCGGATGCTGCCTACAGAAAGCAAATCCCACTTGTCCGATCACGGCTGTCGGCACCCAGCTGAGATGCTGAAATTCACCTGGACTCCAGGTGGCTGCAGACAGCAGGGCTCCAAACACCCTCATGCAGCCCTGCTGGTGGCTCCCTCCTCATGGGGTCATCTCGGAAGAGCTGCCATGGCAAGCTCTCCATTCTCATCGTGAAGCAGTCTTGCACCTTCCTCCCATAATGCCACTGTGGCTGTTTCTGAACGGCTGCTTGAGCAGCATGAGGCAGAGATGGAGGTGCAACGGCCCGATGCTATTGACTCCAGCCAGCAAGCAGGCAGTGTAATCTGTCTGCTTTTGTTCCGTTCACTTGGTGGTGTGCTCTCATTAGCCCCCCACCAACAGTCAACCTGTCAGCAGGTCTGCGCTCCAACTGCCTGACCTCTGACTTCCACTCATTCTTCCACAAATTAATTTCCCAAATTGACAAATTAAAGTGCACAGTATGCCCAAGGTCACTAAATCACACTGGGTTCTGGTAAATGTCAACCAGGGTTGGGTGGGGGTAAAAAGGAAAAATAGGGGGAGGGAAGGGATAGAAGATAAAAAGGGAAAAAAGAAATAAGGAAACATGCTTGTCTGAAAGAAATGGACAAAACCCTCTGAACTGTAGTTTCTGAATTGCAGAAGATGATGCTGTGTGAGAGCAATTAAAATGGAACTGACAGCTCCCCTGGCACACAAGAAAGCAGGAAACACAACTGGCCAGAGCCATGTGCCCCAGCAGAAGGCCACTGTGGATAATCAAAATGGCCTTGGCTGACCCAGAAAAGTGGTACTTCCATTAAGCCCATCTCACTTGTGCTGCCACACTCATACATCGCAATTAGGTTTTTCCTGACTCCCATCAGTTGAATGGGAATCCCAGCCAGGGGCTGGACACTGGACATTGAATGAGCCAGTGCACACAGGTACCCAGGGAGAGGGCAGGAGGGTGAGATAGACCTGGGAAGTGAAGAGCATTTAGGATTGCACCAGGCCCCTTTGAGTTCCGGGTGCCATCAATGCCAGGCCCTCACCACCACCATTGCAGTGTTGTGCAATCCTTCCCACAGACCAAGTGAATACTGGTCTGCCATATCCCCTGCCCAAAAGTGATTAGAAATCCTCCAAGCCTCAGTGCAGCCATGGTCAATTTGTGTTTGTTCATGTGCCAGCATTGCTTTGATCTGAATTCATGCTTTCCTCTCCTTTGTATTTACCCGCTGCTGTATTTAAAGAAAGCCGATGTGTCCTCTCTCAGCCACCACACCCTGGGTGACGGAGGCCAGAGCTGGTACAATGGGGTCCCCCCTCCCATGGTGCTCCTAACAGCCCAGATCCACACCTGTGCCCACAGAGCTTCATCTTTCTCGACCACAGCAGCCAGCAGTGCTGCAGGGGAGATCTTGCTCCTCTTCAGTGGCACTGATACTTCCCTGCCTCTTGGGAAGGCTGTGACTTAAATACTCTGTCTTTTCCCTGATGGCATGATATCTTTGCCTCTTAGTTATCCCCATCAACTAATATACCCGGGTCTTTCTCTTCTGAGTTTGTTTTGAGCTGATAAGCTTCCAGCTTACAGTGGAAATTCATGTTATTGGTCCCTAAGTGCACAACCTCGCACTCTCTAATATTGAATTTCATCCCATTTCTATTAGTCTAGTCCTCAAGGTCAGTCAGTGCTTCCTGTACCATACCCTGATCTTCTTGCATAATAGTCATGCTCCCAAACTTAAGGTTATCTGCAGATTTCATCCATACACTCCTGCCTTTCATGACAAGGCCATTACCAAAAATATTAAACAGAAACCGAAAATATTAAACAGAGACTACTCCTTGAGCAACTGCACAAGTAGTCCCCATCCAGCTTAATCCCTTCCTTAGCCAGACCTCGCACACTTTTCTTCTGCCTAACCCCATCATCCCCCACTGAACAAATGATTTCCCATGTGGCATCATATCAAATGCTTTGCTGATAGCCAGATAAACCAGCTGTGTTTCCTTTACCAGGAAAACCAATTAGCTTTCCTAGATAACATATCAGGTTCTTGTGGCACAATTCACCTTTGATAAAACCAGGCAGCATACAACCTCGCTTTCTAATTGTGTCCTTTATTCTTTCCTGTAAAGACCCTAAAGACATTTGCCTTGAACAGAGTGCTGATGAAAGTGCACTGACTGCAGACAACAGCAGTGAGCGTTGTCCCCTTAGTGGTGTTTCCACCTAGGAGGGCACCAGAAAGAAAGCATCACCATTGCAGTGATCATTCCTCTGTTCTTCTTTCTGTAGCCCTTCTGTTTGTACAATGTGAAAGTAGCAACATCTGGCACAAACCCTGTCCAAGTCCAGCTGTGGCACCCGGTGTAGAATTTAACTACACTAACAAAAATTGGAGATCATTGCAAACACTAAAGAGCAGACTAGACCAGAAACTCCCATTTCATTCTCCCTGCACATGGCACTTCGCAGTCCTGATGAGGTATGTACAACTGCTCATGGAGTAAATTATTACTCCATAAACTGGGTTCAGTGGCTGCCATCTGGAACAATTTCATTGCTTGCCTGAGTTGTTTCTATTATCACTATGGTCAGGGGTCAGCAAATATGAGAATCTGGCCTACATTTGTTGTCCTCATTGTTATTATTGCTCATCAGAGCATCCTCCCAAGGAGTTATGACTTCAATAGGCTCCACTGCAGGATTGCCCCTTAACAGATACACAGTCAGTGCCATCCTATCGTTCAGGAAGTCACTGACAAGCAGAGAACTGAGGTTTTACTCTTCCTGCAAAACAATACCCCCAGTCCGCATTTGCTTGAATCAATGTTGTATTTCTGCAGGGCTCAGTTCTGCACAGCCTGCTTCACAAAGAATAAGGTATGGGATGAGGTTTAGGGTGCTAATGCTGTAGACAGGATACAAAATGTGCAGATCACCAATTTGTATGCAACCCTGGTGGGCTGTACTGTGGTTCTGTGAGGGGGATCCCTGTATCATTCATCACCCTGTGAGCTGAGAGCAAGGAGAGGTGGTGGTTCTCATCCACTCCCATCTTCTTCCCTGAGGTCAGGAATGACAGCATGAGGGAGAAACCAGGTCTTCTCCCTCTGACCTGAGGCAATGCCTGTTGAAGGAGGGAATTCATAGCAGCTTTCCAGTATCTGAAGGGGGCCTATAAGGATGCTGGGGAGGGACTCTTCATTAGGGACAGGATAGTGATAGGACAAGGGGTAATGGGTTCAAGCTTAAACAGGGGAAGTTTAGGCTGGATATAAGGGTGAAGTTCTTTACTGTAAGGGTGGTGAGGCACTGGAATGGGTTGCCCAAGGAAATTGTGAATGTTCCATCCCTGGCAGTGTTCAAGGCCAGGTTGGACAGAGCCTTGGGTGACATGGCCTAGTGTGAGGTGTCCCTGCCCATGGCAGGGGGGGTTGGAACTTGATGATCTTAAGGTCCTTTGTAAACCTAACTATTCTGTGATTCTGTGATTCTATGACAATACAGTCCCTTAAGTCTTAGAATGCTGCACCATGGCTTTGAGCAGAAATCCCTCTAGGTCCCCCTTCCTGTTAAATTGCTCTGCTTGCAGGGGGGCAGGCACTTACTGATGCTCTGTCATGAACACTGACACAGCTCACGAGGGAAGGAGATGGGCTCTGCCCATCACTGCCCATCATTTGCTGCAGCAAAAAGCTGATCATGCAAGTAGTCCTGTATATTTTATGTGTTTGGAAAAAGGTGGTGTCATCCTATTAGATGTCTGAGGGGAATTCTTATGCTCCCTGACTCCTTTGCATTGGCATGTAGTCTGGGTTAAAGACCAGCCGAGAGTAAACTCCTTGTCATAATTCATTTGAATGTGGTCAGGCAGGTATGAATCTGTGCATGTCACACAGAACAGCCTGCTTTCTTCATCCCTGTTTCCAGATGGTAAAACACAGCATGAAAGCAAATCATCATCTGAAGAATTTTGTTGGTTTAGTGGGGATTTTTTTACTACAGTTTATCTTCTTCCCTGTAACAGTGACACTGCACCTCTCCAGCTTGCATTTCAGCCCATAAAATAAGCTCTTCAAAATAAAAAATGATCATGTCACCCATCAGTCTTAATGTTACTTCTAAGACCACTAATTGATTCTGCTGCTCTGATATCCTCTTGCAAGGCATTCCAGAGCCTAGGAACATTAACAAGCAAATGCTCTGGCACCAGCTGTCTTAAGCCTAAATCTAGTCTCCACCAAAAGGCTGGCATTAGATGTCTTCTCATTTTACATGTTTGCATTTTTACAACAACATTCCACAGTTTTGAGTCTACTGTAGGTTGGCTGAAGAGTCAGTTTTGTGAGCTACAATCTGAGTCTTACTCTGAGTCAAGAAAAACAATGACCACAAGAGAAAAGAGGTTTCAACAGAAAAGTTGGGGTTTGGGTTAGCTCTGTCGAGTGTACGTCCACAGGTGCATATCCCAGGACATGGACGTGAACTAGTGCGGCCGTGTCATTTATTCTCCTGGGCCTAGGGACCTGTCTAAGTGAAGGAGGGTGTTTTGCTTTGTATACATATTGGTTGAAACACATGAAAATGCTCCCCATTCCTTTTAATACTGCATGTTGCTGCACTTTTCTTGCTGCTGCTTGTGACAATGTACTCCTGTGTGCTGATCCTCCACAAACCAAGCTGGGCAAACAGGTAAGGTTCATGAAGGGACATGAAGTCTGTTACACCAGCAGTCTACTGTTAGTCTACTAAGCCAGCACAGCTAGAAGTCCCAGGGCACTAACCAGAATCACCTCTGTCATCTCATAACACATAGTGATCTAATTGAAGAAAGATCAAATCTCACTCGTTAGTCCCGGTGTCTCTTTTCACAAACCACGGGAAGCAATAAACCACAAACCACAGAGAGTGTAACAAAATTCAAGCAGGCTACCAGTTTAAACCTTGGAGCAGGCAGGGAGACATTCTATTTACCCTGGCACTCGCAAGATCAGCATCTCAACCTGTTTCTTTCTCAGCAGCCTGCTAGGTGTGATCAGAGTTCACACATGGGATTTGCTGCTTTTAGTGCTGTAAAATAAAGTGCAGAAAAGCAAGTACAAAAGTCACACACAGACACAAGAAAGAAAGGCAAGATCATTTATTATAACCAAAACTTTGCACTTCTTGTCACCAAGTGGACTTGTCAGTCTCACGTGCATAGCCAAGGAAATCAACCCTAGACCCCAGAAATTATGCTGTGTATCATATGACCTACTGGCATATTAATACCCTTTCCTTTTTAAATCTTTGCTCTCCCTTTGGAGCCTGCCCTCTCAGTGGGGATCAGGCTGACACATTATAGGCTCAGTTTTCTTTCTGAGCTGACAACTCATCCAGGAAGAGCTGGCTTGGATGTCAGTCTTTGGAGGATACATAGAAAATTCCAATGTGTAATTTGCATATCATCACTTTACTGGAAAGTATTGTAAAAAGAAATAAATATTTCTCTCTTTCAGGGCAATACCTTCAGCTTTTAGCCAGCATGTCACACTTGAAATAAAAACAGCCTATACACTGAGTTTCACCGGGTGACAGTCTTCTCAATAATGCTGAGCTGAGGAAAAGCCAGTGCAGAGACAGCCACTCTGGTCATCTTGCTCATCCCTTCTTCCCGCATCTATTTATGGAAATATTTGAAAATTGCAGTATAGTCCTTATTTTAGGTGACTCCAGTTGTTACCTTTGGAAACCTTCCTGGAAGGCTGCCTTCCTAAAAGAGCTCGTTATAAAATGAAGTCTAGAAAGACAGCATAGGAAACAAAAAGCCTGAGAAACAGATTAGTTTCTTTCATCATCTTCCCCATAGATAGACTGTGACAGTAGGAAAACCACACCTGAATTCAGTATTGGGTGGCCTCATTACTGAAAATATTAATTTTCTTTTAAGTAGAGCAGATGATTACATAATTATGGCAATATAATATTACCTTGTAGTTATACAAGAATGATCATCTCATGAGTGTTTTTACTATGCAACAGGGGCTTCATTTCCCAAATCATGTTGTAATTATACACTGCATGGATAATAAATCTAGAGGAAGAGCTGCACCTGGACATCAGAAACCATATAATCATACCAGTGAACTTCTCAAGGCAGCCCTCTCGTTGGAGCCCAGATTGACTGCTGTTTGGAAAACATATGCCCCTCTTCTCCACAGCTGGGTCCTCTAACTTCGCAATGAGACTCAAGTCCATATACAGGCCAGCTACTAGTAGTGCCTAATTTGGAAATAAGCCTTTGGATGATGTCATGGTCAAGATGGGAACAAGTAAAAATCTTCTCTTCCAGTGCTGTCCTGCCTCAACTGAGAGAATTGGTCCTGGGACCCCAGCAGGCCTAGCAGGTAGCCCAGTAATGTAGGGAGACAGGAAAGCACCACCAGCAGCCATGGAAGGAACATGCTCAAGTGCAGAAACCTTGATAGCTCTTTTTGAGTAGTGTCCACTGCAGCTGATGCCAAAAAAAGAACAAGGTTATGATCTGTCATTTTCCACAATCCCCTGCCTTGTACCACACTGGAAAGACAAACTGTTCTCTCCTGCTGAAGAATAGATGTGAAAACAGGGGTTATTTGCACCTTCTCAGACACCACCATGTACCCCCATAAAACCTGTCACAATACAGCCCTCAGTGACCTAATTTACAAGGGGCAGGATACAGAAGTGTTAAAAAGTGAAGAATTCGGGAAGCTACCTACGTCTGTGCTGATTCTGTCATCTGCTTGTACATGTTTTGGAGCTCCTTTCAGTGGAAACCCAGAGACTTGCCACCAGAACAGCAAGCTCTTCAAGCAGCACAGATGAAGGATCAGAAATGTATGAACTCTTTGCCCCCAGCTTTTGTTGAGCAAATTAATTTCTTCTATTGTTACTTGCAGAAGTGGTTCTGGGTAACTGCAGAGACCTTGCTACTGGAGAGCAATGCCCACATGATCACAGGAGTCCCAGTCTGCTTAAAAGACCAGCATGACTTACATCAAGGAGAGACTACTGTGTGTCCAAGAATAGTTTCTTATGGTTTGCTTCTTAAAAGGAAGGTCAGTCTTCAAAAACACGATGTGCTCAATGTTAAACCCTTACCTGTGTATCCTTCTATCCATAAAGCAGAAAGTAAGCAGGCTGTGGCTCCTTAAAGCAGCTTTAAGTACAGACATAATCCTCCAAGGCTGGGACCATCAAGGGGCTTTTAGTCCTGCAGTTTTAAATCTGCCTGCCTCAGTGGCTTTGTCCACACTGGTCTTGACATGTTTTTGCTGCAGTCCTGGCCAGCTGAGGGACCGACATGTGTCAGACAAAAGCACTCTAAAACCTCATTCCAAGCTTCTGTAGGCCATGCTGTACGCTGCTACTGCAGTGATAAGAGCAGAGTTAGGTGGACAAGGACAGAGCTACAAGCTGATGACAGAATCTCTCATTCACTGAATACTGGAAAAGTCCATGTCTCTTCAGCAAGCACCCAGGTAATTTCATTGTGAGAAGGTTTTTTTCCTCTAAGATTAAACAAAAATTAACCCATGTCAATTAATTGACTGGTAATAAATGTACCTTTCTTGCAGTTTCTTTCCTATTATGCCCAGTTTCTTTTCCCATGATGCCCTTGCAGCTTCTTTTCCCATTCATTGCAGAAAGAAGCCATGTAGATGGGCAGATTTATTTAGGTTGAATAAAATGTTGTGGAAAGACCCATATCCATGACATTGCCATTGTTCTCCAAAGACCCCTTTCAGAGGTCCTCTTAATGTTAAAGTTGCATCCTTCAGGTTTGGGGAAGGGTATGTTAGCAGCACAACTTTGAGATACTTCCTTCCTCTGACTTCTGTTAAAGTTGACCAAAGAGTCCACAGGGGCCAAGATGTCAAGGCAACATCACCCCATGCTGCTCTGCCTGAAGCCACTCCAATAGTAGGATAAAACCACATCTGTCAGAATTGCTACTGAAGAGAGAGCCCAAAGAATATCTGAGGAGAAAGCCATGTACCTTGCTTTTTTTTTTTTTTACCAGGAAGCATGAGAAATGCCTGCAGTTTCTTGGGTCATCTTAACTCTTTCTTTAGAGCTTGCCATGTTAATAGGCAAAGGAAGTTCAGCTTTGATTTCCTGATACCTGGAAGCCCAGCAGAGGACCACTTTAAACTGCAGGCTGTCAGATTGCCACCAACATACAGTGCTCCACCTCCAAAACTGATAGGCGTCACCAGCCTGCATTTTGTGTGTTTGTTTTTTCCTAGAGGACATAACCTGGTCTGTGGTGTTTTCCCTGTACAGTAAGCTCACACCATGTTTGAGGAGGAGCTGTGATTTCAGTCAGGAAATCTCTGAACAGTAACTAAGTACTTCCTACATTGGCTATGGTTGGCTCTGTAGTTTCATCTACAGATGAATCATCCTCAAGAATAAACACCCTGGGTGGGGCATGGATGGGTCTCCCTCCTTGCCCCCACTCCCAGTGCTTTGAATACTGCAGTGTTTTGATTTTTAAAACATATGTCTAACAAATGTAGCAGTGATAATGAGGAACATGTCAATCTGCCATGCTTCCTGTTCAAATTTCTGTTTTCTTTTCTAAGGTTCAAGTACATCTTAATCCCCACGAGATAAATGTGAGCAAGTACACCAGAAGTGTAGAGCGGAGAAGAGGTGAGAGCTCAGAGCCGCAATGAAAACCATTGCACATCACAGCTGGGGTCTGCTACGGGGTAAGGCTGGTCCAGCAGTCCCATCTCACCCTGATGGACCAGTTGGTCAAAGGACCTGACCCCCACTTTTGGAAGAGCCTGTGCACTGCCCCAGTGGTGTCTGACAAATTTGCTTTCTGCTGCCAAAGAGACAGTGAAAGTTTCTGTGGCCAAACTCTCCATGTCCCTCTCCTTTCCAGACTGCTTCTAACAATTATATCAAACTTTTTTGACTGCTGAAGGCCACATAAACTATTGTTTTATATGTCTGAACTACCCTGTGCTATGTCTTCTGCTGCCCAGATCCCTGCCTGCCTCAGTGGTTGGTGCTGAGACCTCACAACTACAACAGGACATTGCCACAGATTACATAAACATGCACACTATCCTTCCATGCAGGAAGGGAGATGTTTCAGATGCTTCAGGAGAGATAATTTACTCTTTTTCATACATAGCATGCATGGAGCACAGTTCTCTATCACCAGCCTCACAGCTAAAATTTTACCTGAAATAGCCTGAAAATGCTATTCCAGCCTCTTAGCATTCACTCTTTGGTTTTTATAGTACAAAAAGAGCACTTTGACTCATTCTTTCATTCACAGGCCAGTTTCTAGATTTTGTGAGTCAATTCAGATCAGTCCATCCTGACAGACTTTTGTCTGATATTTATTCTAAGAACATCTTTACTAACTTTCAGATTAGAAATTACAAGAAATACAAAAATCATGGGGGGAAGGGGAAAGGAAGAGAAACAAGATCATTATCTAGGGTTGTATGATAACATTTCAGAGATTTCCAAAAAGTGGCAAACAGACCTACAGAAAATTTGACTGGTTTTGCCAAAAACTTTACTGAAAAAAGGACAGTCCGTATGTCATGCAATTAAAGGCAAGGAGATAAAATACGGGAGTGCTATAAAGAGATGACATTTGACATGAAATCTCATCCTGCTTCCCATTCATGAGGAGTTAAATTAGGCAACCAAATTCTGGCTATGACCAACAGGTTGGTATAGATATGGACAGTTCACTTTAGCTATTGTCCATCTGTTCATGGATATGAACATGTTTGAGACCAGCCAACCCACTCTGATAAGCAACATGACTTACTTCCATAAGCTCCTCCTAGCTCTTGTCATAAGCATGTGTTTCATTATGCAGGAAAGAGTCAAGAGGCACCCTTGACCACAGTGCCAGACAGCATTTACAGTTACCTCTTCCTCCAAAGGAGGCTCAGCCATTATTGACAGTTTCAGCAATCCTCCCAACTTCATGTGATTAGAGAGGGTTTCCACTGACCCACTATCCTCAGCTGCAGCTAGTGAACAAGCCTAACAAAGCCATATAACCAGCCTAACAAATGGTTTAAACACATTTGTCCTCTACCTCAACTTCACCAGTGCTGTGATTTTGCCACACTTCTCAAAATTGGGCCACTAGCTTAGGTCTAACACATAGATGTCCAGTGCCATTTTGGATGTCTTTGGGTTTCTAGAACAAGCAGGGGAGAGCTGCACCATTTAGGAGTGGGAGCTGGGTGCCAGGAGGGTGTGGAGAAGTGCACTGAGTGCCTTTGTGTAGGCACCATATTGCTTCCTCCCTCTGGGCTGTGGTACCAGTCTCTAAGTAACCACATTTGCTTTTCCTAGTCTAAAAATGCTGATGTTGTCTTTAATTAAAAACAGTTGTACTTCAGAATAATCTTATCTGATAGACCTTGGCAAGCTATGATTAAGCATTTTCTCCCCTGTATCACCATGGGGAAATGGTAAACACCAAGAGAGCAAGCCCCAAGACAAAACTGCAGAATCTGGTAAGGGAGCACCCAAAGCAACATCCATTTAATGCACCAGCTATTGTATTAGCAATAAATTTTCCTCTGGCAAATTTTTAAAATACATAGCACTCATAATGATGCTGATTACTAATTAGAAATGCCCCAGCAACCAGGTGTTAATCATTGCATAGTAATTTATCAACAGATACTTCAGCTGGGGAAAGGGAAGCATCATTTAAAATGCTGGATGCTGTGACAGTTGGGCTGGCAGGGGACAGCCTGGCTGCCTCTTGCCTAAGGTTGAGCAGACTGATCAAGTGTCACACTCTAGGTCACCCTGCAAGCCCATGGCTCAGGAGGGATTACAGCATGGCAAGATCCTTTGTGACACCCGCTTTTGCCCTCTGACCTCTAGACCTCATGGCTCCGCATCAAAATATGACCTGCTTAGATAAAAATATCCAGTATTGTTTCACTCTCGAGCAACTGGTATGCAAAATGACTACAGCCTGGTTTTGCTTTGCTCTCAGTGAGCAGCACAGGTTTTCTGCCCTGCCTGTGCTACTTCCATCATGGTGTTACTGGCAAAATTACACAGCTAAATTGCTAGCCAGAATCACTAGAAATAAGAATGAGCCCAATCAGCATATACTGACATAAACACACCTCACCATGTCATCAACATCTGGTAAGATCAAACCAGTCAATCCTTACAGAAAAATCTGGCTGAGAGCACAGGAGGAGGCAGGCAGCACACTGGGCTCACTGGGATTAGGGTGCCTCAAAAAGTGCTGGCATCACAAGCTGTGTGCATGTGCACTGAACAGATCAAGTTTTGTGAGCAAGCAGTTCAAGGGTTCAGACACACAGTCTGTGTACAGGGCTTAAGGAGTTACTATACGTCAGCCAGACCTCTGTAACTGTCCATGTCTGCACTTTTAATCTGTTTCAGTCTAAGCTTCTTTCATCAGGTTTTCAGCTAAGTGGCATTACCTCACATCTAGGGCAGACCAAGAGCATACATGACAAACAGCTACTGAGGCTACCACGACTCAGCTGACACATGGTGATTTGCTGTGCCACTGTTACTTGCTTGTATGGAGGAGCATTATGTATAGGAGACTCACACAGTTAGCCGAAAACAAAGAGTGGTGGGTGCAAACTACCTCACTCCTTTGATATTTTCTTTCTGAAATTCAGAAGGCTCAGGAAGTTTCTTTAACAAAGTATAGATCTTTGGAGTGGGAATCAAATCTCAGGTTGGGTTATTAAGATGATGCTACTCAAATGCATTTTCAGCATGAAATCTTCCACTAGAAGTTTTGCTGCCTGGAACTAGAGAGACCTAAGAGCTGGTAGTGAGTAGTGACGTACTCCCTGTCTCAAAGAAAAGCACTCTGCGGAGTGTTTAATGTGTAATGGGTGATCTTTACAATGAAGTCGTAAACCTAAAGATATTGAACTTCGGGGCTCCACAGGAACTGAGTCCTCAAGAGGCACTCACGACTGATTACAAAAAACAGCTGATGTCATGACATTTCTGAATTTCCTCTAAAATGCTCAGTTTTGACTAAGGCTGCAATACAGCCCATGCATCAACAGTGACTTCCTGTGAGGAGTACTCATGGCAATTCAAAGCTCAAGAAGAGACCATCACTCTGCCAGGAGGAGTTTAATAGAACTGTACTATTATCTGAGGACAAGGGAGCTTGAAGAGGCTGTTTAAGCTGGAAAGAGATCATTCATTTCTCACCCAAAACACCTAGGAGTCTCAAATGTGGAAGTCTCTTTAGCTTTCATCTGCTTTCAGGGATTACTGCAATCACAGCTCCTCACCACAACTTTAAGAACTCACTTTTCTTTCTGTACTTTGACATCCCTTCTCTAAAGGGAAAAGCAGTAACTCTAGAAATCCCCATTGGAGGTGTTCGGAGGTTTGTTTTATGCCTGCTCAGAAGCTTAAGGCCTTCAGATGGAAACTGAAAAGAAACACAAAGGAGGGTCATTATTAACAGGTATGGTCCCCTTGTGGCAGAATATCTTCTGCTACAGAAAAAACCTCTGCACTTTCTAACTGTTATTACTTGAAGTTCTGATGTAGTATGGAGCTCCTGATTTTCTCAGAAGTTAAATCTCAGCTGTTACCAAAAACATTCCCATGGTGGAGGAACAAACACAAATACCCAGTGCTTTACTAGCAAAAAAAAAGAAGCGTTTGCTAGCAAGGCTTTGAACAACAGGCTGAAAATGTACTTGGTTAAACCAACACATTGTGGTGTGATAAAGACAGTTGAGTATTCAAAAACTGAAACAAATGGGGTTGTTTTTTTTTCCTTCTCTTTAGACCTGCACATTCTGGTGATGAGAAAGCCACCTGAGGTGAAAAGAATCATAACAGGGCCTCCATTAGCTTTGGGTTCCTGACACGATCTCCCTCTTTCATGTTCTACTACTCTGTCACTCTCATAACAGAGCAATGTGGAGCCAGCCCAGTCAGTAGGTTTTGCCAGCCAGAGAAACTGAGGTATCCTCCCAGAGCATCCCAAGCCAAGGGCTGTGCTGGATCCAGTTGTCCAAGGAGTCAAACAGAAAAAAGACTGTTTTTGTCAAAGCATCTGGTTAGTGGCAAGGTGAACCACCTTAATTCCTCAAAAAAGAGCTCATGAACACTGTCTCAGGGTACCCCAGTACAGGTTTCTGGCGGGCAATAAGGTCACAGCTTCTTTATACCTCATAAAAAATGTGGCCTTGTGCCACCAACATTGTCAACGGTCCTTATCACTTCCACCAGGACTGACCAAAACATGCAGAGCCTCCGTTCAGCCACACTCTGCCTTTCCCCAAGGCAATCACCCATCTCTTCAAGCATTTCAGGAACGCAATAAGTCATTCTAGACAAGCTTTACTATCCAGCTAAAGAAATGACCCCTTCTGAGCACCAAGCAAAATAAGGGCTTGGGAACAATTGGAGGAAGTGCACTAAACAGACACTCCTGCAGTAATTATCATCATTCACTTGGGGAGAGGGGGAGCAGGAGAGCACCCTAGCTAGGACCACCCTCTCCTCTGAGGCAGGGGTCTGCTCCCATTGTTCTCACCTAGAGCCATGCCACCGCCTCCAGCAGGAGCAGGAGCAGGCCTTTAATCCTCATTTCCTCTTGGCCGAATGAACTGCAGTGTATGCCAGTGACAGCTAAATGAAGGATTCCTTTTTCCAGAGGACCGGCAACAGCTCTTAACTCATAAACTCAAGGTAATTGACATTACAAACAAGCTTTACCCACAGGGACCCCAGAGCAGTCAACAATTGTGCTTTAATGAGTAGGAAGGGAGAAGGGGGGAAGCCTTTGCACGCCGCAGTAGGACATTCTAAGAAAAGCTCTTTCCCTTTTCCAGGCAAGGCAATGATTAAAGTCTGTGCACGAAACCCGGCAAGGAGGGAGGCCTTGCTGAAAAGGCCTTTCTTCCTGGCTTTCCTGTGGAAAAAAACAAGGGGGATGAAAAATGGTTACTGGGACTTGAGAAGGACAACAGCAGTCAGTTAACAAACCCAAACAATGAAAGAGGAAGCCAAGCTTAGATGAAAAAGTTGAAGATCCCAGAGCTCTGGAGTTTTGCATACAAAGGACATCTAACAGAATTGGAATACTAGCATGGACTGCCACAGAAGGGCAGAATGTAGGGTAGAAGTGCCAACCCAGCTATTTTATGAACTCAACAAACCAACTTAAGAGGTATCCTGCCTCTCATTCCCTCTTCTGTTTCTCCTCCTGACTCAGGAAAGCCATGGTTGGTTGGGAGCGCTGTATAAGCGCTTCACAGAGTAACACTGGTCCTGACCACAGAAGGGAAATGAAGTAAAAGAGCAGTACACTAGAGCATTGCTGTTTGCAGGACTGCACTTATCAATGTTTACACGGCACTACTCAATCTCCATTTAACCTGTTGGGCACAAAAACACATTCGTACTTCATAAGGATGTGTTTGTTTGAATGGCTTCTTCTCCTGAAAGCCTAAATCAAAGAGAGCTGACCCAGAAACTGATGAAATATTTAAGCATATATTCCATTCTACATATTACCAATTTATTGGAAAAAGAATGGCATAATGAAAAATACTATTGTTCATCTTTATCAAAATGTTAGTGTTGCTGACCATGAGGATCCCTGCCTAGCAGGATTTTCACTTAGATTAGGAATGACGGGGAGATACAGACAGAGGCAGAGAAGCAGAGGACAGCTGGGGTAATGGGCAGTGGCCTTAGCCCACCAGCTACCTAATGGATATTGTTCTCTGAAGAAAACGCTGTTTGTTTTTTTTGGAGAATTAGCAAATATTCAGTCAGGACAAACTTTACTGAATGACATAACTGAGATTTGGTCACATCCA